CCAGTCATCTGAGACTCAGCTGAGCTGGACATCCAAGATGATGCATTCATTCTTCTGGCAGTTGGTGCCGGCCTCGTGGCATCTCTGTTTCTTTTGTTTATTTTAAACCAAGTCCTCTTGTCCTTGCTTGTGAAATGGGGTGACGTCTGTGTGTGCCCACAGGGCTGTGAGGAGGAGGGTATATGGGATGATTTGTGATGTGAAAGCACTTTGAAGAGCAGAAACCCTTTGACGATAGCAAGTAAGGGCAGCTCCAAGGAAGGCGAGGGCTCTTTGTCCGTCTTTGCTTCCTCCTGCCAGGATCCTGATCCTGGAAGTAGAAGGAGGTAGAGTTTTTCCTGTGGCTCTGGCGGTTGCCTGATTAGCTCTTTCCTCTCTTCTTCTGTCCTTCCCTTTCTATTTAAATAAGCATCTACTCAGCACATTTGTTTCTCTTTTTGGCAGAATCTCTGTTATCTGAGCCCCAGTCCTAGGTTTGAGGAATTCCCAGGCAGAACACCAGGATGAACCAGTGTCTGAATTCCATGTGGGCATTCCAGCCTGCCAGCAATCCAGGAAATCCTGAGTCAGGAGAGACAGGGGAAGCATCTTTGCTGACGTGCCCCAGAAGCAGATTCTCTGTGCACGCTCTGTCCCTACCCATGCACGTGCAGCCCCTGGGGTGTTTGTCCAGGAGGAACCCGGGACTCCTGGGTGCTGTGTTTCTACGGTAATGGGTCTGGCCTTTCCCGCACCTGCGTATTGCTGTGCGAGTTCCCAGACGACAGGCGGGATGGGGACTTCCCTTCTCCGCAGGGCCAGGGAGAAGTCCGTGAGGGCTCCATGCTGCTGATGACTTTTTTATGCCCGCTGTTGAGGGTGAACCAAACACAGGCTATGTTCCAGAGATCTGTCCTCCAGGATTCCCTGCAGCTTCAGGAGGTATTACAAGGGATGCTTGTGGCCAGTGACATTAGAAAGTTGATTTTTCTTAGAAAATACTGTCTGCCCCCCACCCCCAACCTTTTCCAGACTGGAGTAAAATCATCTTTCTGGATGATGACTGTAAACCCTAGATGATATCTGGTACCAGTCTGGATAGACAGCATGAAAAGACAAAATGTTAAAGGATTGTGTAGGTTTGGGCATCAGTTATCAGTATGCAGGTACTGTCGAGCTGGGCCTGATTTGCAAGATACATTCCACAGAGGTCGGAAAGTTGACAGATTCTTTTCCAGTCACTCTCTCCGGAACTCACAGACACGAAAATGTCTCCTGGCTTGCTGATACCAATAATGCCACATAATTAGAAGAAAAGCTCCCAATTCAAAAGGGCTTAAAACCTCCCAGCTACCTAGATCCGTTGTCCAAAATGTTCCCTACAAGTCAGACCCCCAAGGGTTAACTGATCTGTGAAGAAAATGCCTTCTTCTGAGAATTGTTTTAGAAGAAGCTTTTTTGTTTTTAAAATTGTAAAGTGATGTCTGTCCTTAAAACCCTTACCTTCTCTTTTACATCAGTCCTTCTGGCCACCTTTCCCTTTAGCTCTGTAGGGTTGACCCAGTCAGAACCTTTCCTGTTCCTTTACCTGGTTCCTTGGGTCCAAGATCTGTTCACTTCCGTTCTGAAATGGAGGTTGATTTAAAGGGGGCATCCTGATGCTGATGCATGTAATGTGCGGCAGGTGTCTTCACAGCCTGGGAGCCCCTCCCCCAGTTTCCTTGCCTGCTTCTCCCATCATGCCAGAAGAACCTTCCCGTCATGCCAGAAGAACCTTCCCCAGATCAGGCTCAGAGAAGAGAAGCTGAGAGCTGCCCCACAGGCCCACCAGAGAAGGTGCTAGACTCCTGGCTGTGGCCACAGGGCTCTGTGTGGAAGAGTCAAGGGGAGAGGTGTCTGCACGGTGGTGTGCCTCCTGAGTCTCCCCTTGTCCTTTTCCGTCCCATACACATGAGAGCATTTGAAGACAAAATCTCTCATTTCTGGCTTTCTGTATATTAGCCAAGTGCATTTTTATGGTGGGGTGGATTGGAAAAAGCATCTTTCTTACTTTACACAGTAATAAGAGAGACACTTAATATGTATTATGTGTCTGTTTCTGGTTGTATAAGTAATGCACCTTCATTGGAGGCAGTACAAGGAAGTTCACATGCATACTGCAAATCCACCTGCCCTCTGTCACTCCCGAGCTGTGCCAGGGTCATCTCCGATCTGCTTCGTTCTGACCTCACTGATATGTGGACGTCCTAAGTCACGCTGAGGAGCCAGACTGAGCATTTGCAGCTCCCAGTAGCTTTTTTATTAAACCCAGAGCTGTTTGCTGTGCCATTAAAATTTTATCAGAAGCACTCTTTTGGTGGGATAATACGTTTTTATTTAAATGTTTAATTGGTAGTACATTATTTCAGAGCTCAAACAATGTAAAAAAAAAAGTGTTTAATAAAAAAAAAACGTTTTCCATATTCTCTGCCAATTGTCCAGGCCCTCACCCCGCCCCCCGCGGTGCCCACAGGAAAAGGTGCCTCTTTTCTAGATGTCTTAAAGTTCACTGCTGATGCTTCTTGAAGCAAAAGCAAAACCAACTTGATAGACCTAATTCTCTACTTTTGCGCCCCAGGTAGCGTATTAGACCTACCACCTGCGCCCTGCTTATGCTCTCACTTGATCTGTCCTGGAGATCTTTTCATTATAGCACATGGAAAACTATTTTGTTCTTCAAAAGTGCATTTAAATTTTTTTTTCTAGGGGATCCCTGGGTGGCGCAGCGGTTTGGCGCCTGCCTTTGGCCCAGGGCGCGATCCTGGAGACCCGGGATCGAATCCCACGTCAGGCTCCCAGTGCGTGGAGCCTGCTTCTTCCCTCTGCCTGTGTCTCTGCCTCTCTCTCTCTCTCTCTCTCTCTCTCTCTCTCTGTGACTATCATAAATAAATAAAAATATTTAAAAAATTTTTTTTTCTAAAACAGTTTATTCAAAAGATAAATACTTTTTTTCATCTTAATAGAAATAGAGCAAATGAAAATTCAGCCCTTCTCTCCATTTCCACTTCTGTATAATCAATGAGAGCCCCTGTTAATTTCCTCATATATTTCTCCACAATTATCGTTGTGTTCGTACCCTCATGACTGTGCATATGTAACTCACTAAAAAAAAATCTGGTCATCTCATACAGACATGCCATAATTTCCTGAATCATTTTCTCTATAGTTGGACCTTTAGATTGTTTGAAAAATGTTTTTCAACTTGTCTAAGCAATTGAAAGAGGAATGATCTTTGATGTGAATTCTGGTCCAGGTCTTTGATGATTCCGTCTGGATAAGTCCTGAGAGTGAGCTATCTGGATCAAAGGATGTGGATGTTCTCAGGGATTGTGGGCCAGCCTCATGGCTTCCCTAATAGATTCTTTTCTCTCTCCTCCCAGCCATCCATAGGAAAAATGATGCTCACACAATAGCAGGGCCACAATGACACCCCCGTCCCTCCCACCCTGGTTTTTTGAAACTGAGGATTTCTCAACCTGGGGGTAGGCAGGTTTCTCCTTGTTGGGTTTGAAGGAATCTCTCAATAGCAGCTTCTTGGCAAAACCTGATCCTGGAGCCCATTATAATTGCTTAGCTCCACACATCTGTCAAGTGCTCAGGTTGGGTGGTTCTCCCTCTGGGCTGCCATATGTGGGGTGAGAGCTTACCCCTTGGGGTGGCAGGACAGATTCTGTATTGGTATTAAGGCTAACATACTGCTTTCCTCAACAGTTGCCATATTATTAGCACAGTTCACAGGTATTGTGACCTTCCTACCTGCCAGGCACTGTTGCGCATACTCCGTGGGTCTTCAGAACCACCTTGGGAGTTACAAGACTGCCACACCTGTTTTACCTGTGAGGACAGTGTGGCACAGCAGAGGCACATAATTTGCTCATAGCTGCAGGGTCAGGAGCAGATGGAGCCAGAGTTGACCCTGAGCCATGTGGCCCCAGAGCACTGTCTCCAGAACCATGGAGTTACCTTCTGGCATCTCCGGCTCCCTGGAAAGACTTCAAGTCTTGCTTTCTTCCACCTCATACCTGGTTTTCCGTGTGTTTGCCGAGGGTTTGTGGCAGAAGCGCCTTTGAAGCTGGGCAGCCCGGAATTTAGATCCAGTTCCTGCAAGTGTGGCCTTGGGCAAGGTCCCAGCCTCCCTGAGCCTGTTCCCTCATCCATGAAGGCCGAGGGGGCCTGGGGTGGACAGCAATGGTTAGGAAGATTGATGACCACTGCAGGTAACACCAGAGCTCTGACAGGTGCAGAGCATGAAGTAAATGCTCTTCCCCTGACTGGCCCACACCCTCCCCTGTTGCCCTTGTTCCTCCCGGTTTCCATCGACATTCTGAAATTCTGGCCACTTGAGATTCTGAGTGTGACCATAACGTCACCACTTACGGAGCATCTACTACTGCTGACCATTTTGGGATCCACTTTACGTAGTACGTGCCATCATGCCAGGCAGCACAGTTTCTTTTACCCAGTCGTGTTCCCATGGGGCCCTTGTGAGTCAGAAGCAGCAGCTGTGTTCTGCCTTAAATTGCTCACGCATCACGAGGGGGGAAGGATAGAGCCGTTTGGGGGCAGACGTTGGCCTTTTGGGTTTACGTACTAGGTGTGTCTGTGTGTGTGATGTTCATCCCGGTGACAGTGAATATTTTTTCCACTGCTCATTTGATATGTCGCATCTCAGATCCTAATTAGGCCTTTATAGATCCAAAATTACATGATTTTACAGGCCTGCTATTATCTCAATAGGATTAACAGTCCTTTCTCCATGAAGATAATGGAGATCCCTCATGGTGGCATGTTTTTATTACCATAACACTGTCTCTAACCATCCTTCCACAAAATCTCTTATTGTTTTCCAGTAACTGCTTTTTCACCTCATCCTGAACAGGAAATGTTCAGGGATCATTGAGCGGCAAAATTCTTGCATGGTTATGCAAACTACAGTAACCAAGATGCATTTTCTCTCTTCCTTCCCTCTCTCCTGATGGCAGGTGCCTGGAGATTTGAGTCAAACATCTGAAGACCAGAGTTTGTCGGATTTTGAAATGTAAGTCCACAGCATCTGCTCACGAGGGGCCCTTTAGAAATAGGACTCTGTTGTGTGGTTTGTGTCCCAGAGGAGCACGAAAATTAGGTGGAAATCTGCATGGGCTCATTTGGTTATCCTAGAGGTGAGAAGTTGTTCCCCTGCAGTCCGAGTCTGGCCTTCATACATATTTTATTTCACTTGTTGGGTACTGGAAAACAATTAATTTTTTTTGGTTGACATTTAAGACTTGGAAGCTATCACATGAAGAAAGTAAATTTTGCTTTAAAAAGAAAAAAAAAAAAGACTCAAATTCCTTACCAGGCCACAGAGCTTGAGTAGCAGCCGCCTCCCTCACACGGGGTGTGTGCTCTTCTGCTGACCACGGTCCCCACTTGTCCCCGGTGCCTGGCTCTGGCCTGCTTCTCAGCTTTCATTATCTGTGTGTCTCCTAGAGGAATTTGAGCTTGTAACTCCTGAGTTAGAGTTTCTGAGGCTGGGTCTCATTGGTTACTGGCTGTGGTTCTCTCTGGTGCCTCTGATGGTAAACCCCTGAAGACCTGAGATGGTCTTCAGACTTCTTGAGATCATGTTGCTTTGGGGTTTGGATGGGTAACCCCCTGGGTTGGTGAAGGCAGCAGAGCGAGTGCCAAGTTAGGACCCAGCAGAGCCTCCCTGCTCTCATTCAGCTCTTTGGAGCAAGAAGGCCCAGCCTCCCTGAGGGAAGGTGTCAGCTGGGCAAAGCTCGCCTCTGAAGAGATAGGGCGGGACATCAGAAAGAGCACTTAGCAGGGCCAGGCTGACCCATCCTGAGTCCTGTCTACAGGACTCCCCCTGCTATGACCTCGGGCAAGCCTCTAGACCTTGCTGGCCCAAGTTCCTCACTCACACGGTGAGGTTGTGATGCCAACCTCACAGGGCAGGCGTGGCAATGACAGGGAGGTTATGAAAAAGGCAGAGGGTTCAGGAGGCTGCTCGGTGCTTGAGTGGCTGTCAGGCTGGTAGGCTGGGGGGGTCAGTGTGAGGTGAAGTCATGAAGGATGGAATTCAGGGGTGAGCTTGCCTCCCATGGGCCAGTGGCAGGGGGCGGGGTACAGGCTGAGGAGGATTATGGGATGGCAGCCTAGTTGGGGGCAACGGTCAGGACAACCTGGCAGAGAGGTGAGAGCATAGAGGTGGTGGTGGGGTGTCTCAGAGACATTCGTGAGGCAGAAGGCTGACTGTCACAGCACAGACTTACCAGGCACCTTCTGTGGGGGGGGGGTGGCATGCCAGGTCCTTGATGGAGGGCATGAGTAAGGCACAGTCCCTGTCCTCAAGGAGCCGCTGCCTGGTCCAGCTCCATCATCTCTCTCCCGCAGACATACAGCCCCTCCCATGGGTTTGTGCATCTCCACTAAAGTCAGAGGGAAGCACCATTTTCCTCTCTGCAGATGGAACCCCAAAGCCCTCATGTAGTTTGCACAGAAGGTTTGCTGACCTCTGAATTTGTCCTCAGCCCTCCCCTGTCTATTCCCTGCACACAGCCACCCTAGCCACCTCGACTCCTCTAAGTCACCTGGTCTTCCCTGCTCGGGATCATTCCTTCCACACCATTTCCTCTGTGCCAGGCACAGTTCTCCCTCACAGAGTCCCTTTGACAATGCTGTGACATGGGTGTCATCCTCCATATGACACAGTGAAGGCAGGATTCAGACCTAGGCAGTCTTCATCTGGGCTCTGTGTCCTTCACAGACATTAGTACCCCTGCCTGAAGCATCTTTCCCAGTCGCAGCCTACCCTCCCCAACTTGGCCAACTCCAAACACTGTTTCCTCCAGCCCCTGTGATGCCTCAGACTTAAGCAGCACCTCACCCCCCTCCCTGACCCCCACGAGCAGCTTTCACTGTCCTTAGATCCAGTATTCCTTGGTGGCACAAACAACAACGGTAACTAAATAGTTTCTATTCACAATTGTGAATGTGTATGTCCCTAACAACTGAGCCCCAAAACTTAGGATGTGAGAATTGGCAAAAATGAAGGAGAAATAAGTAGCTCTGCAGTAGTAGTTGGAAACTTTAATACTGCTCTTTCCATATTGGGTAGAACACCTAGAGAGAAGACCAGCAGGGAAGCAGAGACGCGAACAACACTGTAAACCCGTCGATCCAACAGGCATGCAGAGATCTCTCAGCAGAGTACACTTTCTTTGAAGTGTAGGGGCACATTCTCCAGGACAGACCATACATCAGGCCACAAGTCTCAGTAAACTTAAAAAGATGGAAATTACACACAGTATCTTCTTGGACCACAGTGGAATAACCGTTAAGGGATTTGTCTCTCTCTTACTCGCTGAGGCCAGGAGTCTCTGCTTGCCTCCTTGCTCTGTCTTCAGGACCTAAAGTAGTGACTGACACATAATAGGTTTTTTTTTTTTTAAAGATTTACTTATTTATTTTAGAGAGAGCACCGCAGTTGAGGCAGAGGGAGAAGGAGAGAAAACCTCAAGCAGACTCTGCACTGAGCCCAGAGCCAGATGTAAGGCTTGATCCCATGACCCTGAGATCAGGACTTGAGCTGAAACTGAGAGTCAGATGCTTAATCAACTGTGCTACCCAGGTGCCCCAGTCATGCCAACAATTTTAACACTGTATGGAAAATGCTCTGAAAGGGAGAAGTGCCTAAGCCAGTCAGGGGTGCCTGGTCCTTACCAATCAGGAAGGTTAATGAAAAGCAGAGTGTCAGGTAGATTTCTGCACTACACCCACTCCCTTGATAGAAATGAAAGGGGAGCACTTTAGGTGCTAGTACGATTTGGGGGACCTTTATAGGAGAAACGCCATTAGCGGTACAAACCAACTTGATGGCTCAGAATTGCAATTTTTACTTGGAGCTCTGAGGAAGTGATGAATTATTTTGCCCCATGAAAGAGGTCAGCACCTCATCTCAGAGCTTAGAAGAAATGCTGCTTTAGGAGAGAGCCATTTCTTTGTGAAACTAAACTGCTCTCCACCCGGAGATGAGGAGGCCACTGAGTCATGGAATCTTCCACCATTGTCTCAAGCTGTGTTCTAAGCACAGGAGGCTGGCACATGGTTATGAGCTGCTCTTGAGAGAAAAGGAGAATTCAGGAGAAAGCGTTTAGCTCTGGAAAAACTCTAAGTAGAGGCCAGGGCTGGAACCTCCCAGTCCTTCCAGAGTTGTGCAGTGCTGTTTTGATAACCACCAGGATTGATCTTTAGGTGACAGCGACAGTTAGCGTATCTGTCCAGCGTGTCTTGGATTCAGCCTGGTGGAGGGTGTGGTGGTGGGTGCGTGTACCCAGCGACTCACAGTTAGGTGAAAGTCATCCCGTAAGACAAAACTCACAGAACCAAGGTGACCCTTGAAGACCCCTTAAATACCCTGTGAGGATTAACTGGGACACTGTAGGTGAAAGCATGGAGTCCCATGCTCTAAGCACTCAGTAAATGATTTGCACTTGAATTTAAGTCTTGGTTTATTGGAGCCAAACACAGTGCTTCTGGAAAGTTGCAAGAGAGGTGTTTGTGTCTGACTTCCTGGTTTCCCCTTCCCCACCCCAAGCAGATGTTGCCTGAGTAGCCATGGATGTCCTGAGCCTTTCTGTGGAGTCTGATCTTACAGCGGGGGCCGGGGTCTAGAGTGGGCACGGCAAGGAGGCAGCGTGGCGACTCTGGGTGCTCCAGGTACCCCATGGTCGTCAGCACATGTGATCCTCCATGGCATGGGGGGGCTTCAAATTATTATCCTGTTTTTCAGATGAGGAAACAGGTCGAGATAAATTATGAGTCACGGTGACTCCTTGTAAGAACTGAAGGGCAGCCCTTTCTCACAGCAAAGTACAGACTGTGTATGTAAATAACAAATACACATCTATTAGACCAAGTCCCGTAAGGATAATCCCAGAGGCTGGGTGACAGGCTTGCACTGGTCCTCTGGCTTACTCCTGTGCCTGCTGGATGTTGTCATAAAGTGCTTGTGTGTAATGCCTCTTAGAGAGGATGGTTTCCTCTCTTTCTCTTGGTAAAGTGAAATGACTAATGTTGATCAATCCTCTTGCTCAGATCAAACCGGGCACTGATCAATGTGTGGATCCCGTCAGTGTTTCTCCGGGGCAAAGCAGCGAACGCCTTTCACGTCTATCAGGTGAGTCCTTGGTTTTCAGTTGGATGTCCCTGCTCAGGCGGGACCGACAGCTGTTTGTTGCCTTCTGGTCCTGCTGCCTCTTGGTGATGGAGCACTGTACTTGGGGGCCACGGCCTCCCAGCACTGGGGTTCCAGCTGCCCCACCTCCCTGAGGAGGCGCTCCTCCCTCGTTCAGGCAGGAGAGACGAGGGTGGAGCTGCTTGGTGCCAGTCATGCCTCTTGGTGTGGCTACTGCAGGTCTCAGCTTGGACAGCTGGAGCCAAAATGGGATTTGTTGGCTTATGCTGCAGCCACCAAGTCCAGGTGTTGGTGTGGCCTCAGGCATGGCCCAGATCTACTGCTCAGGTGTCCTTTTCAGGCTGGTGCTCTCTGTGGGTTGATGGGAGGCTCTCAGCCTGTTTGGGTTGTTTCAGCCTGTCAGGAGCCCATTCCTGGCCCTCTGGGTGATGCATTTCTCTGATTGGCCAGGTTTGGATGTGACCACTGCTGGTGCTGGGGTGTGTCCGGGAGAGGGGAGAGGAGTTCTCCAAACGGAAACCAGGCTACTCTTCTCAAGAGAAGGGATAGCAGTTACTTGACAAAATCAAAACTGTGGATGTCTCTTCTTCCTCCTTGGGAAGGGTCATTCCCTGGCTGGGGGTGGGGTGCTGAGGGCCGTGGGGCCCTTGTCTTCTTTGGAGGTGGTTTGTCTCCCACACCGGGGACCCCATTTTTCCATATTTTCTTTGATTTTCTGATGCTTCTTTGAGCCTGGCCTTCTTACCATCTTGTCATCTTTTTCTTGGCTTTGCTTACCTTGGATCCTGATCTCCAGCCGTTGGTGTTCCCCTGTCCTGGACCGCTTTGTTTTCAAGTCTGACTCTTAGCTGCTCCGTGGGTCAGTCATTTTACATCACGACAACTTTCATTAGGTTTTGTTCCTACTCCCTGTCGGCTCTGTGAAAAGTCTTGAGTTTTGCTGGCCACCTAGCCCCCCCCCCCTCCACCTTTTGGGTAGGAAATGGGCCATTGAAGACATCTCAGCTCTTAAGATATTTTCCCAGAGACTGGGGTGGTGAAAAAAGTACAATGGACTTGAAAATAGGAGCCTGGTCTCATTTAGTAAGCATTGGAGTGTCTGAGTATCCATGATGCTCCCTGCTTGGGCTTAAAAAGAGAATCAGACATAATGGCTTTCTGTATCTCCCCTTTGTTCTCTTTCTCTTCTTAGGCCAAACCAACAAAATCCCTCTTACTTGACTGTCCTTCGAGTTCTGCTTTGCGGTCATCAGAAGGCTGGGAGGTGTTGCCTGGTGGATGAAAAAAGTGAAGCAGACAGCTTTATTTTAGAGTGAAATTGATATGTGCTATCACTTGAGAGGTTTCCTTGACCTTTCGTTTCTGACTCTCTCCCCCGCCACCCCCTCCCCCAGCCCAGGATGCGATATGGCAGGGTGTAGCGTCTAGAAGTCAGTTATGGAGTGAGACGGACACAGCCCATGTGCTGTTGCCTAGGAGATTGTTTCCACAGTGGTCATGGTGGCATCTGTGCCCCTCGGTCCCTGTTCTTCATGTCTTTGGAGCTTTCCTTGGTGCGGTCCAGTCAGCGCCCAGAGGAGGGGGCCTGGAGTCACCACATCAACTAGAGCAGCTTCGTCTCATGCTGTGGGCTCTCCAAAATCTTTCCTGGTGTTGCACCTCTGGAATGCAGCTCTTTCTCCTTTTAGCTAATAGCACTTCTGGTCGGTCCCTCAAGAACGAAATCTAAGCATGTGTTTGGAAACGTTGGAGAAAGCTTTTGTTTTACAGTGTTCTTATCATGAATGACATCGAATAGAAGGTGACTCATTTAAAATGCTGGTACCATTGGACATTATTTTTCTTAATTGAAAAAATACATTCTATATGTTTCCCCCAAAAGGTATGAAATAATTTCTAGGAAACTCCTATAAAGGAATGATAAAGGAGAAGTGAAAAGTGAAATATTGGATCTGGGAAAACATAAACGAGGAGAACTGACATTAAGGGAACCATGGAAATCACACCTACCTGTCGTGAGCTCCTGTATGACTGTTCTCATCGGTTTGTGAATTTCTTCTGGGCTTCCTAGCAGCCAGGGTGAAAATGGAGATGTGGCTCTTCTGGATAGTATCATGGCTAATGAGAACAAAGTACATCAGTTCCTCAAAGGGAGCTCTAAGAGAAGTATCCACATTGGGCTTTAGATTAAACAGTATTGAGGGATATAGTAGAAAATCCCCATTACATCTCAGAGACGCATTGCTGTCAGACTTCATCCGATCTCCCTCAAAGGAAGTCAAGGGAATAATCTCCAAATGGAAGTAGTTCATTTGAAGAGCCAAGAGGAGAGGTCCTACACATGTAGTTCCCTCCATAGATGTATGGGCTTTCCAATAAAACACCTACTAGCCACGTGTAGCCATTTGTATGTACATTAACTAAAATAGAAGAAAATTTAAAATTCAGTTCCTCAGCCCACTAGCCACGTCTCAAGTGCTTAACAGCCACAGGCAGCTAGTGACCATCGTGTGGGAGATGTCACTGCCCAAAGTTCTCTTGGTGGTGGTGAGCTAGAGCAGCATGTCAGGAGTATGGGAAAGCAGGCTAATTTTATGTGTGCCGAGTCAGGTTTTAGAAAGACCTCGGCTGGTCATGAACCAACAAATCCTGCAGGGAGAAAGCCACTCACTCTTCAGCTCTCCCCTGGCTTGGGATTACCGGCGGGGAGCTAGTCCCTGAGTGTTACCCCTGCGTCACCTTCACCCTCAAATCTTTCTGTTCAGCAGAGACAGGAAGGCTCAGGACAAGCATCTTTGGCAGGAGCAGACTTGAGCTTGATCACACAGGTTGTTTTGGTTTCACTGTGTTTATTTATACATTTGCCTTCTAGTTATGGCACAGAATCCTGTTTTCCACCCACCATGGTGATGCATTTTCCTTTTAAAATAAAGTTAAGAAAGAAAGTGAGCCTGCTTTTTTTAAAAAAAAAAAAACATGAAATAAATGATCGCGCAAGCAACAGTAATTTGGGACAGCACAATGTGAGAAGTAATAATCTGGGAAATGCTGAGCTGAGGGAATGGACAATGCATGATACCGCAAGGAATGGTGATCCTACAAGAAGCCACAGCGGCAGTAGCCTCTCACTGGTCTGTGTGCCTTCTGTAGCCCATTTGGTCCACATGGCCACTCTGGGAACACACTCTGCTTAGCCCCATTTTACCACAGAGAGAACAGAGACAGAAACATTCAGTGAATTTTTTTTTTTTTAAGCTCAGGTCGTATTTTCTTCCAGGATACCAGTTTGCAGTAGTTCTGAGAGTGAGTGTGGAGCTCTTCCCAAATCCAAGAGTGGGACAGGTGCCTTCATTCTGAAGGGAAGGGCCCAGCCTGCACAGGTGGCCACCTGCAACCCAGGGTTGATGGGCCAAAGAGCATGGCACAGACTCGTGACCCACCAAGCCCTCCAAATCCAAAAGTCAGGCTGAGGTGGTCTTGCTTTGGGTAATTGTCAGAGCAGGTGCTGGCTCGTGGTGGCTACTCTGGCTGGAGATGGGTTTCAGGGGTGCTCCTTGAGAACGTCTCCCTTGAGCAGTGGTGTCAGGGTCTGGAGAGCCTGCCCCGAGGTTTGGAAAACTGTGTTCCTAGATGCCGGAGGATCTCGGATAGCTCACCTGCTGCATGCAGTGCTTGGGCTCTCGCTATTTGTACTGTGGGAAGAGGTCCAGGATTCTGTGTCACTCAAGGGATCCTGGCAAGAGATGCCATCCCCAGACAGGATTGAGTGCAGGTCTTAAAAAAAACAAAAAAAAAAACAGTTTGTGCCTTTGAATGCTGTGTTTTCCACACTCAGCCCTCACATCTGAGATGGGGACCAGGTGCTCTGGTGCTTGCGGGACATGGCAACATTTGGACAGTTCTCAGAACACAAGTAAAATTGGTGTCCAGACCTTTCCCAACTTAAGGTTTTCATCCATGAATATTTCTGATGCTTCGGGCCTCTGAGCGTGCTTGGCTGCCAGCAGACACTGACCAGGGACAAGACGACTGAACAGCAGCAGATAAAATGGGAAACACTATTTTACTAACTGGTCTTGCTGAATGTTTCTCCCTTTTCCTGTGTGTTAACACACCGTTGTGCTTGAGAACTCTGTGGTCTGTCACTTGTGCATGATAGTTACGTTTGTTGTTGATCATTTAGTTTCTGGTTTATACCTTTGCAGTGGTTTGATCTTATTCCCCATACGCCCCCACTTCCAAGCATGATTGAGGTCCACCGTCTTTAATATCCTGCTGTAGTATTTATAAAGGGACGTTAGACCTTCAAATAAACAAACCCCCCAAAACCTATTTTTTTCTTAAGCAGCTATTCCAGCCCCTACACTGGTATGAAATAATCTGTCAATACAGTTATTTTCTGAGCCCTCAAGTCCTTTCCTTTGAAAAATTCTGTTAGTGTAAGTACAACTGAAATCAGTCTTCTGTGGGGGATTAATTTCAGCCTTTGAACTTTGCCACCGGAAATACTGGCTCCTGTACAATAGTCCATCTGCCCAGCCCAATTAATTAGGTCTCCTTTGTATTAAAAAACAAAACAAAACAAAACAAAAAAAACGTTGCTTTGTTTCAGCAAAGCTCTTCCCTTCTCGAGTAAGTCCCCTTTCCTAGAGACCACAACGTGTCCTCTTGGCTTAAAGAAAGGGCAGTGCCCCAGGAGACGGTCCCCCCCAGGGGGAAGCCGTGTCACCTGCGCAGCCACTTTGAAGGTTTTCTCCAGCGGAGCCTATTTTCACACGCGGCGCAGGGAGCCCACCGCTTGCCCCGTCAGTAATAGATCATGGGATCTGGGTGGGCTACGTGGGCCAGCAGGGGTGAGGAGGATGGCGACGGGTTTGTACCGAGGCTGCGGGCTTCCCAGCCTTGGCTCTCACCCCCAGTCCTGGGGGTGCTTAGCCCGTGGGGCCTCCGCTTCTCCGTACGTGCAGCTCCGTCCTTTGGCT